AGTAGAGCAGCAGGCTCTGAAAGCAATTTCTGATAGGAGGTATCAGAAGCAGTCAGAAGCCAAGAGAAGATCTGATGGTGGTCAGAAGTCAGAAACCTCAACCTCTGATAGACAAAAGAATGCTCAGAAGGGAAAAGAGAAGTATGACAAGAAGAAGATCCAATGTTACTGTTGTAAGAAGTTTGGTCACTTTGCTAGAGATTGTTGGTCAAACAAGGAGAAGAAATCAGAAGAAGCAAATATAGCCAGAAGTTCTGATGACGAATCTGTGCTATTGATGGCCTCTGAATCTGATGATCTGACAGACTGGTGGTATATGGACACTGGCTGTTCAAATCATCTTACTGGAAACAAGAAATGGCTGGTTGACTTTGACTCTGAAAAGAGAACAAAGATCAGATGTGCTGATGACAAATATCTTAATGCAGAAGGTATGGGAAATGTCAGAGTGACTCTGAACAATGGGAAAATAGCATTGATTCAGAATGTGTGGTATGTACCTGGCATCAGAAGCAATCTGATGAGTGTGGGACAATTAATTGAGAAAGGTTTCTCAGTTACCATGAAGGACAATCTTCTGAAGCTGTATGACTGTAATCAGAAGTTGATTATGGAGTCAGAACAGGGAAGGAATAGAACATTCAAGGTGAATGTCAGAACTGCAGACTCAGAGTGTCTTAGTGCAACAAGTACTGAGAAGGAGAGTGAGCTGTGGCACAGAAGATTTGGTCATTTGAACTTCAGAAGCTTACAACATCTGAATTCAAAGAAACTGGTATATGGAATTCCTGCAATTAAGAAGCCTGAAAAGTCATGCAAAGTTTGCATGGAAGGAAAACAACCAAGATTGCCATTTGCATCAGAAGTTGCTCCAAGAGCAAAACATGCCTTGGGAGTTGTACATTCTGATGTGTGTGGTCCATTTCCAGTAGCATCAATTGGAGGGAATAAATACTTTGTGTTGTTTGTTGATGAATTCACAAGAATGACATGGGTATCCCTTATTAAGTTTAAACACGAGGTGTTTGATGAATTCAAGAAGTTCAGAATGAAGGCTGAGAATTAGAGTGGTCAGAAGTTGAAGATTCTTAGAACTGATGGTGGAGGTGAGTATAACTCCAAAGAGTTCCAGAAGTTTTGTGAGGAGAATGGAATTGAGCATGAGGTTACTGCTCCTTATACCCCTCAACATAATGGTCTTGCTGAAAGAAGAAACCGTACTTTGCTTGATATGGTGAGAAGCATGCTAAAGGAGAAGAAGCTTCCTCAGAAGCTCTGGGGAGAAGCTGTTGCCACTGCAACGTATGTACTCAACAGATGTTCTACGAAGAAGTTGAAGGAAATAGTTCCTATGCAGAAGTGGACTGGAGACAAGCAAAGTGTTAGTCATATGAAGGTATTTGGTTCTGTTTGCTATAAACATGTTCCAGAAGCCAGAAGACAGAAGCTGGATGATAGAAGCAAAGTGATGATTCTGATAGGGTACCACAGTACAGGTGCATACAAGCTCTATTGTCCAGAAACCAATAAAATTGAATTCAGCAGAGATGTGATTGTGAAGGAATCAGAAGTTTGGAATTGGGATAAGTCTCAATCTGATTCTGATGTTAGAACCTCTGAAGAAAGGTCAGAGTTAAGAATTTCTGAAGTTGAAGTAAACCATGATATTGACTCTGACTCTGATACTGATTCAAACTCTGAAGAAGACTCAGAAGATGAAGGTGACCCAGATGACCTAGACTCTAATGATTCAGACTCTGATGGCAATCCAGATCTTGGTGGCAATTCAGACTCTGGAAATATGCCAGACTCTGAAGATGGTCAAAGCTCTGGAGGTCAATCATCTGAAGCTAGAAACTCTGAAGCTCAAGACTCTGAACAAGTTCAGAGACCACAAAGAATCAGAAGCGTTCCCAGAAGATTTGCAGAATTTGACATGCTGCAAGACACTGAAGTAGACTCTGAAGGAAAGGATGTGGACGCTACAACCTTCAAACAGTTGGTTGGTTCTCTGAGGTATCTGTGCAATACCAGACCTGATATTTGCTACTCAGTTGGGATGGTTAGTAGGTTCATGAGTAAACCTAAGTGGTCCCATTATCAAGCTGCTGTCAGGATTCTGAGGTATATCAAAGGAACTCTGAAGTATGGAGTGTTATTTCCCTCTGGAGGAAATAATGAGTCAGAACTTCTGAGTTATTCAGACTCTGATTGGTGTGGAGACAGAGTTGACAGAAGAAGTACATCTGGGTACTTGTTCAAATTTCTGGGAGGTCCCATTTCTTGGTGTTCCAAGAAGCAACCCGTTGTGGCGTTGTCAACCTGTGAAGATGAATACATTGCAGGTGCTGTTACTGCATGCCAAGCTGTGTGGATTCTGAATCTGTTGCAGGATCTGAAGATTAAGGTAGACAAACCTCTGAAGTTGATGATTGACAACAAGTCTGCAATCAACCTTGCTAGAAACCCAGTGCTGCATGGGAGAAGCAAGCATATTGAGACCAAGTATCATTTTCTGAGACATCAAGTTCAGAGTGGAGTGTTAGAAGTTGTACACTGCAGCACTCAGAAGCAGTTGGCAGATGTTCTGACGAAAGCTATCAAGACTGATCAATTTCTCAGATTAAGGGATGGAATTGGTGTTACAAGTTTTGATGGAATATGAATTAAGGGATGGTATTAGTAATAATTCATATTTTATTATATTATTTTCTTAAGCCCATAAGTTTGTTAGAGGGCATTTCAGTATTTTATCTTATTCTAGTAACCCTAGTTTTAGCCTATAAATAGGGTGACAATCATTGTAACTCTTAATCCTGTTTCTTCTGCCGCCATTCTCTTTAATAGAATATTTCCCTATTTTCATCATTTATTCTATCTTTGCACCAACAGTATTGAGCATCAATTTTAAGAATTTTCTACATCTGGCTTGTGAGAGAATTGAATATCTCTACCTTTGTTTGCACTAGTATGCATAGCATTTTTCAAGATTTCTGCATGATTTTGTAAGTGTACTCATGAATTGATGAACTTGTTAACAAGGTAAGCAACATCTAATGCTTTTTAAATCAATGAAAATATTGAGAAAGTATAATGCAGAGAAAATGAAACAATAAAATTGTTATGTTTTGATCCTCTTGATTGCATAAATGTGAAATCCTTACTATAGCATGATTTTGTTAAAAATAATTAAGATAATCATTAGCAATAAATATAATCAACAAAGTATTAAGTTTTTTCATTCTGCTGTATTTAGAATGTCATGAGAGTTTGAAATCTTACTAAGACACATACGTCAAATTATTGTCATGTTTCAATTTGATTACACATCTCATAACAATTGAAATTTGATTTTTATTTAATATTAATTGTCATTGAATTCAAATATAATAGAGTAAAAATATGATAATGACTCAACTCCTATGATGTTCTAGATCTCGAACATCAAATTAAATGAGTAATCAGACTTATTAAAATTAATTCACATGGATTTATTTCATTTTTTTCATCACATGTCCTAATTAGAACATGATCAAATTGACTTACCAAATATTTAGTATCACACAAACTTATTCAAAGATATAATTGAATAACATTTGAATTAAGTAACTCCCTCTTACATAATACTTGTTAATGCTTGGTAATACTATGCTGATGGGATCATTAGGATGATCCAACGTATTGAATTTTTTATGTGTCTTTAAAAATAAAATATGTGTATTAGAATTGTCACTTATAGATGACCAGTTAGTCGATTCAAAATAAGGTATATGGTTTGAAATATATATTTAAAGAAATTAATTAATTGATTAAGTAAATTAGTGAGTGTTTGAGAATTTCAAATTAATATATATCATGCCAATATCCACTTTTATAGTGAGTTTGAAATGATGCAATATTGTGAAGTTGTGATATACCATCATCTTATTTGCTCAAAATGATATGCATTTTACATTTGTATAATATGGAATTATAATTCTATGTGTTTTATTGGAGGTACATAACATGCTACATGATATACCATCATCTTTTTTTTGAATTCAGCCTTATTATCTTGAATGAGTTATATTTCGGAGCAGACGGGCTCATTCTTGATGACATGATCTAATAGATCAAATATATACAATTATATACAAATAGTACCTTTTTCACATATAATACATCTAACAAACGACACATACATATTTTGGTTTATGTAAGAATTATAAAGGAGTGAAAATAATTATTGGCTAATTTTCAAAATTTTCTCTAATTTTTTTATAAAACTTTTAATATATTACTATGTAACATTCTAAAATTTCCATAAACTTTATTACTCTTAGTAAAATCATTAATTTATTAAAACTTTTCTCTTAATTTATAGTTATGGTTGTATAAGTTACACTTTTCTTAAATTTTCTTAAAATTACTTAAATATGTGAGACTAGAATAGGTGATTGGATAAGTTAGATTTTGAAGTTTAAGAAAACTTATAATCTCACAAATTAAAATAATTCACATGGATCAATGATTAAATGGTGATATCCCAAAGCAATAAGACTCCAATAGATTTTATACTCCATAATCTCTTCATTACAAAGACCACGCCTCAATACATATAAAAAAATAAGTTCATATAAACTATCATAATGCAGCTTTTTTCAAAAGAAAGCTCAATCTCTCGTAGAACTAAGCTTAAAGAATTAAACTCATTTTAAGCTCTTTATAAGTTCAATGTGAGAATTGAGATTTTTTTTTAACACTCGCTCACGCCCAATATTTTATTAGATTTAGTATGTGAATATAATTAATAGATGATCTATAGTCCAATAGAAAGACTTTGATATTAAGGTAAATTACATTCATCTCTTTTTATTTTTATTTTTATAAGTAGATAATATTAAAAAGGAGATTAAGGAAATCTCAAACCAAGGTATAAATTACGAGAAGTCAAAAGGGAATTTGAACCAATCGTACAAGCAACACGGCTTGCTCCCCTTCCTACCAAGGATCAACCAATTTCAAGAATTGAGTTTTATGTCGAATACAATACTGTCGACCTCAGTAACTACATTATTAAAAATACAATCATTTCTAGACCTCCAGATATTCCAGCAAGTAATAAACCAAATCGAGTTTACTCTATTCGCTTGACACCGTCCACTAAGGCTTGTGTTCCACACCTTAGCGTGAGAATAACAACAATTTTCTGATATTATGTCTATATCCGCCCATTCACAGATCTTGTTCCAAACCTGAGTAGATTTATAGCACGAGAAGAAAATATGGGATACGTCCTCCAGGCTACTAGAACAAACCACACAATCCAAATCTTGCTCGGAATTAAGCACCCTTCTCTTCAATAAATTAGATCTCGTAGGCAATCTATCAAGCGCCAATCTCCAACTGAGCGTTTGCACTTTCGCCGGAATAACCGTCTTCCATATGGACTTAATATGGGATGCACAATCTGAACCAATGTCTTGTTCAGATAAGGAGGAATATAAGACTGAATAGAAAGAACTAACCTTGAAAATTAGAGATTCATGAAGACTCCACCGCCTTTTGTCAGATTCACCAGGGATAACTGAGATATTTTCCAGCAACTTACAGCAGTCAGACCAATCTGGTTCAGGAGGATTGTCTGAATCCAACAACGAATTTCTCAGATTCCAATTCCACTTCCCATCCTCCCAGTATCCCATATCACGGACTGATACTGACTTCAAAGAGCAACATTGAAACAAGCCATTAAATCTGACTTTTAACGGCATGTCGTCGATCCAAACTGACTGCCAAAACGCCGCATCGTTACCTTCACCAACGGAGCAGGCCGTGAACTTGCAGAAGTTGGTATGAGAATTTAGTGATGCATTGTTCATAATATCCTTCATCCATAATGAATCGGACTTCGAACTATCAACATCGGAGAAAGTTTGCGTCTTAATGCTAAGGTTACCGTATCTGATAGTGAGGGTGTTCCTCCATATTTCATTGCCGCCAGTTTGGAACCTCCAAAGCCACTTTGCCAACAAAGAACTATTGAACCGACCCACATGCTTAATAGCCAGACCGCCATCTTCCTTAGATTTACAAGCAGAATTCCAAGAAACCCAAGGGATAAAAAAAATTGCTCGAGTTCCCAGCCCATAAGAACCGCCCTTGGATCGATATTAAATCCTTCACGACCTTTTGAGGAGCCTTGAAGAAAGCCAGATAATGGATAGGAAAATTTGCAAAAACCTAATTAATAAGGGTAACTCTATCCCCCATAGATAAGTTTCTCCCATTCCATATGGATAATTTATTCTTCAAACACAGCAGAACCGGTTTCCAGAAAGAGTATCGACGATGGTTGCCTCCTACAGTGATACCAAGGAAGCTAAAAGGCAACTTTCCCGATTTACAATGAAGAAAATCTTCAGCAGCCACTAAAAAATCAGGTTCAATATGAATCCCATACAAACAGCTTTTGAAATAATTAGTTTTGAGACCTGAAATTAACTCGAAGGCCCTAAGAATAGCCTTGAAGGCCCAAATATTTGACGTCGACCCGTCTACAATGAGTAGAGTATCATCAGCAAATTGGAGAATACTCACTGTTGGTTGACCATGTATCATGAATTGGGAAAGCATATTACCGGCAACCGCTGATTTCACCAAGCTTGACAGCCCTTCTGCAGCTATAGCGAACAGGAAAGGAGCAAGAGGGTCGCCCTGTTTCAACCCCCTGCCAACCCTAAAGTCCTTTGACGGACTGCCATTGATGAGAATGGAGACAAAGCTATTGAAAATAGAACCACGAATCCATTTCATCCACTTTGTTCCAAACCCCATCTTTACAAGCAGAGCATCTAGATAAAGCCAATCCACACAATCATAAGCTTTAGCAAAATCTACTTTGAAGAAAAAACATTCCTTATTGAATCTCTTTGCAAAATCAGCCACCTCGTTAGCCAACAATTCATCTCTTTTGATATCTATTAAAATGACACTAACACCCTCTAATCTTAAAAATACAATAATGTCTCATGAAATATAGTTAAATAGCAATGATACCCTTCTACTTTTTAATGAGAATTAAATATCATAGGTATAAATGACATTTATTTATAATTTTTTTATTATTAGATGAAGACGATGAAGACGAGTGGTGAGGAAACTATGACAAGTGATAATAACATTTTTAATGTGAATGTGTGTGTGTGTGTGTGTGTGTGTGTTTGATGAAATTTTGGTTGTTGAATGTGTATGTGATAATAGATGAAATAGTTTGTTGTTGAATGTGTATGTGATAATCTTTGAAAGAGTTTGTTGTTGTTATTGTTGTTGTTGAATGTGTATGTAACAATAAATGAAAGTGTTTGTTGTTGTTGTTGAGGTTGTTGTTGTTTTTGAAAATAGATGTCGTCTTCATCGTATTCTTCAACTAGTGGTGAGGAAACTATGACAAGTGATACTCAAATAAAAAAGAAAAGATCATAAAGAGGTGTCACAATGGTTACCAAAGTAACAAAAGTCCACAAATCTAGTATCAAATTGCCTATCGCGTTTGATTCATATTATAGAGTAGTTTATGGTGAATACTCTTCTCTTTTTAAGAATTATGTTGTGTTCCTTGAACATAGCAAAGTTACTATATTGGTAGATGATTAGAAACAAGCATCAAATGATATCAAAGGTAGCATATGGACAGACGTTAAGGTATTAGTTTTAATTTTCATTATTTCGATATGACTTTCTATAATTTTTAATACATTATTATTGATTTAAATGTAGTTGACCTTTGAGTTTACGGATGGTGATAAGAACTTTAAAAAAAATGGTTAAGTCATACTGGTACGTGTTGGAGGAGCTTTAAGTCACGGCTCACGCGTGACTACATCAGGAAGCCTAAGATTACTCTTGAGCGTTCATGGTGAGGTATAGTTTTCTCTCGAAGAAGGTTTGGAAAAAGTTTGCAAAGGGTCGTCGTTCTGAGAAATTTCTAGTTAGTACTAGTCTTATTTATCTTGATAATTTGATGCTAATGATTTATAGATACTAGTCATATTTTCACTATGTTTATAACAGACTAAATGTCAACCAAGAATACATAATAAAGCGAAAAAACATTTACCCCCATAGATTGTCTCGTGGGAGTTACTAAAAACTAGAGAAAAAATGACGGAGGAAAAAAAACAACAAATGGGAGATGAGGACTCCATTAATCATGATCGTAACACATCTCCACCGCAAGATATGAGAAGTGGAATAGGGTTTAACTAAGACCAAATGGAGTGTACACCTCAGATGCGTCAAGAGAAGTTGTCGAGAAAATTGTAAGTATGATTTGTTCTGCGTGTGTTATGTGTTATTTAAATGTTGTGGTAATTAAAATATTAATATTATCATGCATGTTGTGTAGGATGTGTTGGTTGAGGAGGCCCATGGAGGCTCATTTGTTCTAGAACTACAATATGATATACTAGTCGAGGCTATTGGAACAAATGAGCACGGCGAGCGCGTTCGTGGTATTAGAAAAGGGGCCAGCCTGAGTTTATTCTTTGGTCTAACCAAAAAAGTGCCAAAAAAATTGAATTACAAGAGCAAAGAGAAAAGCTTGTGGTTATTGAGAAGGAGTTAGAAAAATAGAGGAAGATGTTAGAAGCCGAGTGGGAAAATCAGAAGAAAGACATAGAAAATTTAGAAGGGTTATATGCGGTTGTATGATGTATTGTGTTTTATTTGAAAAGTTAGAAAAAATAGAAATGTGTTTATTATGTATTGTGTTCAAAATGAATGTTATATCGCAGAGAATAAATGGATCCTTACCACAACGTACGGATAAAAAAGATGATACCGTTGATGATCAAGTTCCCCAAACACATGTTGTACGTCATACTAGCACTAAAGGAAGCAATTGTTCAGTTGGCCCCGCTAAAGAGGTCAATGAGTTATTGGATCCTTTTGCAAATGAAATCGCCACGTTATACATTTTGTTTGCGGAAAGAGATGACCCGTATTGTCTTCTTCTAGAGCATTGTCCGAGGTCTTCTATTCTTTTCCTAGTGATATACGAGATTTTCTCTATGTAAAAAATTAGATGGACGTAAGGATATTGCAAGTTTAGTGCACATAAGTATATATTTGAACATGCATGTCATTATTTATAGTACATTATCATTTTTGTATTTTCTTACTTATTTTTAGAAATTTGTTTAACCATTTAGGTACATTTATCGTGTATGTATAGAGTTAAATAAATTGAATATTTATGGCATCTTGGATTCGTATAGTATTCGATGGACAAATACTAAGTTAAAAGATATTGAGTCCTACATTTTATATCAGTTAAGTCAAGGGGGAAAATAATACTACTTAGCACCATTTCTCAATGCGTAAGTAATTTTGAAATTGTGGTTTATCTTTTATAGTTAGTGTTCCGGTATGGGCCCAACCTCGGCAGGCCCAATACCGCGTATGGCCCAACAAGCGAATCGGGCACGCCAGGCACGTGCTCCCCACGAGACGAGCAGGGCAAGCCGCCGAACACAAGCAACGTCTCCACAACCTTTTGTCGTCCACCACTCCGGACGGGCAGAACCGTCCCCGGCTCACCAAAGCGCGGCCCTTGGCTCCTCTCTTCCGCGGGGAGAACGACGCGCTCCGGGGAACCTCCCGGGCTCCCCTCCGCGGGGAGAATAACGTGTTCGGCGCACGTTCTCCACGTGCTCCCCTCTGCGGGGACACGTCTCCGGCCAGCTCCCCACCTCCGAAAGAGCAGGTCAAACCCACTTTCTGGAGATCCAGGAGCGGTTGAACTAGGGCGAAGACCACGTCCTGGTCTTCACTACGCCACGTAAGCCCTAGCAGTCATTAGGGTTGGGCCTGGTCATCCAGCCCATCTCAAATGACCGTTGGCCCAGCGCTGGGGTCTCTCTATAAATACCCTCTTCCTCAAGAGGGTCAGGTAACTCTTCTTGCCCCTTTTTTCTGTACTATTGCTTCCACTCTGCCCTACTTCTTACTTTGGCATCGGAGTGTCTTGCAGGTACACCCCCTCCTCTTTCTCACCCCGGTGAACAGGTAGCCGTCCAGTAGCACGTGGCCATATCGTGATCCCCTCCTGATCAGGTCAGATCAGTGGCGCCGTCTGTGGGAACCTGAAACTTCTCCGTTACTCCGAGCAGAAAACCAAAAGTTTCACCAAACCTCCACGATCATGGCTAGCCCACGCCGCGACGATACTCCGCACGACCTCGCGCTCAACGTCGCCACCAACGGGAAGCAGACAGGAACGGCACGTCAGACGGAAGCCGATGAAAGGGACGGGCAAACTGCCTCACCATCATCCGAGGAACGGCCCCTTCAGGCCGATCACCGCCCCCCGAGCCCGCCAGCATTCCACCCCGTTCCCATCCCGGCGGGAGCAGACCCAACGGTGGCTGCTCTCTTTACAGCCATCAACCAAACGAACCAGCTGCTGTTCCAACAAAATGCGAGAATTGGAGCATTAGAATGCGTCGGCCCCCCGAGGTACCCCCAGCGGGAAGACCAGAACGGAGGTTCGAGGAGTCCCTCGCCTCGGCCCAGAAACCGCCGACCCCGGCTGGAGAGACACCGACCGCAGGCGACTCGAGAACGCACCAGATCCCCGGCAAGACACGGTCGCGGGAGGAACCAGAACGCAGCGACGATCCCGACTGAGGACCCCCGAGTCGAGAACCCCGGCAGGAGGTCGAGAACTAGAAACCAGGGGCACACCTTGAACGGCTCATCTCCTCACAGATCCCTGGCACATAGCGACGAGGATGATTACCGCACCCCGCTATCCCGGGAGATCATGGCCGCCCCTATACCCCAGGGGATGGAGAAACCACCGACGCTGTCGACATACGACGGCACCTCCGACCCGGACGATCACCTGGAAGACATCGAGGCTATGCTCGACTACCGAAACGTCCGGGGAGCTATCAAGTGCAGACTTTTCCCAACGACTCTGAGGAAAGGCGCTATGACCTGGTACAAAAGTCTGGAGCCCGAATCAGTTACATCGTGGAGGGTCTTGAAGGACCTGTTCTCCAAGCACTTTACGGCGTCCCGACGGCACCCGAAGACGGAAGCAGTCCTCGGGGCAATCATCCAAGGCCCCGACGAACCTCTCCGAAAATACATAGAGAGGTTTACTCGGGAAGCCGTGCAGGTGACAACTTCCGACGAAATGAAACGCTACTTAATGGAACAGGGCCTGCGCCACGACTCCAAATTCTACGAGGCCGTAGGCATACACCGGCCCATGTCCCTCCAAGATTTCCTCGACAGAGCCGTGCATTACATCCGATTCGAAGAAACACAAGCGGCCAACTCCGCTCGCGACACTCGAGACAGAGAGGCCCCCCGCGGGCACCGAGACGACGGAGCGTCGAGCCATCGACGAGGAGGAGACCGCCGTCGGGAAGACCGCCCCCGCGAGCCTCGCGAACAACGGGAGCCACGCGGCCCCGCAGGAAGATTCACAGAGTACACAGCCTTGGTCGCTTCGCGCGAACGCATATTGGCCGAATGCGCTAAAACCGAGTTTGTTCAGGGAGGTGTCCGGTTTCCACGACCAACGCCACCCAAACCCAACATGGACAAGTCTAAATACTGCCGATTCCACAGGACCCACGGGCACGTGACAGAAGACTGCATCCATCTCAAAGATGCGATCGAAATTCTAATCAAAGACGGGCACCTGAAGCGATACACCCGAGGAGGCGAACCACCTAGGCCAGAGGCACCGGAAACCAAGAAGATCGATGAACTCCCCTCTCCAGAGGACAGCAGCAGGCTCCAGGTCGCGTTGTGCGTCAGCC